TTCAGCTAATTATAAAAACAGTAATCTACCGCTAACCATATTAATTGTTGATCCAACCGGAAGAACAAAACGTGTTACACGTCTATCAACACCAAGATTTTCTTCTAGACAACGAAATGTTACTGGAAGTGTGGCAGAACTTAAATTTAATTTTTATTAACATATTTGCAGTAAAAAAAAATAAAAGAAAAGATATAAAAATAAAGATAAAAATTGAAAATTTAAAACAGAAAAATTATATCGTTAAACACTTGACATGAACAACTTTTATTAATCATCAGATTATTGTAATTTTCTTCTTTTATATTTTATTGATCTATGAGCAAGAAAAAACAGAAATAATTCTTTTTAGCACAAATTTCAAAAAAAAAAACACTTTTTTTGACTAGTTTTATTAAGAAATAAATTAAAAATTTTTGAAAAAAAAATTAAGTAACCAAAAATTAAATACAAAAAACTGATACAAGTTTGCAAAACAAGGAAAATTTATCAATTTTAACACTATAAATAGCACCAAAAACTTTCACTTACCTAGATGCTGTTCCCAGTGCAGTAATCCAAGCAGTCAGTAAACCTCTCATAAACAAAAATGGATTTTTACGTGTACACATGAAATATATTAATGGTAAACTGATAAGCGCATGAATTGCCAAACCGCTTAATACGGTGAGCATATACATCGCTAACATACGCACTGTATCCACCAAACTTTCAATTTCCAATATTTTACCCATGATTAAGCACATTATACCAAACGGTGAATAGCTGCAAAAAAAAAGAAAAACGACACTTAACTCATACAATGTAATAGAAGAGATTTCAGCAGTATCGGATTAAACAAAGAAAATAACAGAAAAGTACCATTCTTCTATTTAATAAAGCCAACAACATAGCTTAAATTGTATGCTAAAACTTTTGAAATTTGCTCAACTTATTCAACCAGATATTCCTCTAAAAATGTAATCTAGCCACAAAATAAAAGTATTTTTTATTAGATGACAAATCACTTACCACATAATCATCGATACTAATTTCATGATTACTTTATCCATCACAGAAAAAAATTCTACCATCGGTTGACCTTGCGGACCCAACTGGCTTACAACAATACCAAAGGCAATGCAAAATGCAATAATTCCTAAAAAAGAAAACAAAAATTGAAACATTTTAAAAAAAATAAGTTAAATTTTTGAATAAAGAATAAAAGCAATTACAACACCGACAAGCCTCAGCAAAAAGCACTTAAAAGAACTAAAAAAACTTTGAAGAGAGAGGAAAAGAGGTGTATAAGAAGTCTGAGCAGAACAGCTAAAACAGATAAATATAGATTACCTTTGCTTCCACAAATGTTTCATTTATCATAAATTTCTACTTCTTCTTCTAATTTTATGGTAATAAAGGATTTTTAAGTACAACTCAGTAGGACAATTGCTTAACAATACTGTAACTTTTTCTAAGTGCAGACCCATTGATCATTCTTTCGGAAATAATCTAACACCCTTATATATACCTATATATAGTACGACGCTACTCAGAAATCTTTCATCGCTGCAGAGACAAGCAAATAAAAATGGCATTTTCTGTACACAAATAAACACACAGAGGTGTGTAATTATTAAAACTTTTTATCACTTTAATTCTACCAAAACTGAAACAAAAAAACATTCGTCTAAGTGGTTTTGATTATATGAACAATAAACGGTGAAAAATGAAGTTCTTTATTATACATGACTGCAAAGGTAAAGAAACAGAATCTTAGCAACTGATAGAAAAAGAAGAATAAAGTAAAGAATAATGGTAAAATTTTTTTTTTCTTTTTTAGAAAAAAATTTTAAATTAATAGCAAATCTAATGGGTTACCCATCACATTGATTCCGGGTGCATGAACAACGGTAGATCGTGTGATGTTCATTGAACCATTGTTAAACATCATCAATTCATCAATACTTAAATTTTTTGGTTTTATTTTTGGTCGTTCCGAAACATACTTTGTTTGTGCCACTTGAAATGTTGCTTGAACAATATTTTCTGGGAACATATTTCTGAAAAAAAAAATGGAAAAATGTAATAAAAACAATTATAATAACGACAATCTTGATTACCTGTTCTATACCACTTACCCATACACCAAAACTAAAATGTATCAAAAAAATTTTTTCTATCTTAACATCTACTTTACTCGCCATACATATAGTATGTATCTCTTTTTATATTATATGTTATATATATATATATATATATATATATAT